TTTTGTATGTCACTATATGTAATATTTATTGTAGTGTTTTTATATTGATATTAAATATACAAGTTCTTAAATAAGTTTGTAGAACATGTTAAACTTTTATTTAGTAAGACTAAGTCAAACTTTTATGTAACTCAAGTTCTTATTAGAAATATTCAATTAATGTTGAGGTCAAGTTTAATAAACTCTGACTTAATCTAATCTATTTTCATCTTAAAAAGAAAATAAAAGAATGCATCCAACACAAACAATTTTTCGCAAATGATTCCATTGTTGCCAAGTGTCACAAGCGGAATATTGGATGCTAATAAAATAAGAAGAAAAACATAAACTTATTAGCAATAATTTCCTCATTCATCATTCACAATAATTACAATTAATTCATGAAGTAGCCATGAGTACTTATTTATTTAACATATATTGTAATACTCATTAATTATTCACAATAATTACAATTCATGAAGTAGCCATGATTACTTATTTATTTAACATATATTGCAATTAGTACTTGTTGCAATTACTTGTTGAATATATAGTAAAATTTCCTAATAAAGAGTGTTTTTGTCTTATAATATGTATCTATCATTTCTTTGAACCAGAAACTAATTTTGTTTATATTACTATAATTATCATTGACTTGACGAGTCATTACACTTAATGAGAATTAAATACAGATTTCATGTTACACAAATTTTCCCTACAAGATATAAGCGCATGTACCTAACCACTTAGCCATCCACATAGTAAAGAACGTGTTTACTTGGCCGAAATATAGACCTACAAAAGTAGGCTGAGTAGACAACGTCTGACCACAACGGAAACAAAAGAAATGTGAATAAGGTGATTGGTGCAAGGGCAAGCACAGAAACAAAAATTGGCACCCATTTTATGCTGTTGGAATATGTTATGAAGAAGGCACTACTAAATGCTACCATCATGCTTATTATGGAGATAAACAGTGTCACCAATCCATATATCAGCTTCAGAGGCAGTGACTTGAAGAAATCATCCTCTGCATAACGTGCTATGACAAGCATGGACAAGAAAATTAGAATGGAGATGGAAGATGATATGAGTGCAGTTGCATCTGATATTGCAAATATTATGAAGATGATAGCATTGCGAATGGGATTGCAATTTTTTTCATCATCGCCATGTGGAATGCTGAATGCTGCAGTGAACACTTCTGTGGCAATGAGCGTTGAAACGATCATACAAGACTTTGCCATGCTCTTCATCCAACTTTCTGCTTTTGTCAGTAACTCTGTGTGTTCTTCAGTGAATAGTTCTCGGGGTGTTTTTCCATTGGAGTTTCTCTTCTCTACGAAACAAGGTGGCATGTACTTCTTCACCTCCTGTAATAATGTAATATCAAACCTACAAGATTTTCTATTTATATATGAAAGTTAGCTATAATGTAGAGCATCGTGAAATGATGCCTAGAAATGGGAAATAGAGACAAATCAGTATGATAATACAGGGTCAAGAAACAGTCTCTTAGAAACAATTGCACCATGAATTATTATGAGTAATTAGTAAATGTACAATTTGTTCATCAAAAGTTTTGAGTGCAAATAGATCATGTAAAACCTAATTTTTTTGTTGTTGTTGAATAATATAGATTTTATCAATTTATTCCAATATACGTACTTAAAAGGAACCTATATGTACCCAAATAAGTACTCACTCTTTTTTGGAAACTATTTTGGGTACATACTCAATATGATAATACGTACTCAACGTGTACCAAATATATATCTATTGCATACTTGTATGACATGAAATTTGTAGTACCAAGTGAGTAAATGTACATTTTAATTTGATTCTTGAAAGTTGTAACATTTGTTGATTTGACTCTTGCATATTATTTATTCTCCAAACTTGTCAACTAAATGATAATTTAGTCCTCCAAATATATCAAGTTTGTGAAAATTTAGTCTCCAAATTCGGTCAACTTTGTGTCAGATGAGCTAATTTATTATGAAATGACAAATTTGAGAAATAAACTCTATACTCGTAAACTGTTAAGAACCAAATCAATGCAGCAATAAAATCGTATGCATGTTAAATTATTATCGACTATTATCTGAAAAGAAAGAAGGAAAAGAACAAATATATAGAATACATGCATGCATAGAAAACAAACAGAAGCTTGGGCCTGTTTAGCAATTGAAATTATCAATTTCCATTGACAATATTACCAAATCCAGTGTTTGAAATGCTTTGTACCTTGGGTCTTTTTCCTTCCACGATTCACAACCGTGAACTATAATCATTGACAGTTTGTGTTTAACAGGCTGGAACCAGAACGGCCCGTTCTGAAAGCAGAATAGCCCGTTCTGGTTGCACTTTTAGTGTGTTAATTTTGCACCTGAAACAGACCATTCCAGATGCAAAATTAACACACTAAGAGTGCACCCAGAACGACCTGTTCTAATTTCAGAACGGACCGTTCTGGTTCCAGGTGTTTTCAAAAAAATTGGCATCCACATATGCATCTACGTGGCATCCACGTGCATGCCATGTGGCCAGCAGTTAACTCCGTTTAAATAATTTAGACGGAAGTCTCACATTACAACCAATTAATTTATTAGAGACCAAATTGAAACAAAAAATAATGGGACTAAATTGAAACAAACAATTATTATAAGAGACCAAAATAGGTTTTTAGCCTTTTAACAAACATAAATTTCTAAAACTTGCTAAAAATATTTATTTCAAATTATGAAAAGAACAATATAAAATTTTTATTAAATAATAAATAAACTTGAAAAAGTTATTTTTAAGTTAATTATTGTTTTTTAAAAATTTAAGTACTCTATTTAAAAACTTCAAAATTTGAATATATTTGACACTTTTTTTTTCTCTCTATAATTTTCAAAATGCATATATACTACATTTAATAGGTAGTATCTATATCGACTTGATCACCCATTGTATGAATTTTGGCTTTTGAATCCAGTTGGAAAACGTTTTTGAAAACCCGAACTGAATCTTGCACCTAATCATTTCTTGTTCTAGGAATAGACTTGATTTGGTTAGTCACATTGTTCAAGTCATTGTTCTTAATGCAAAGTGTTAAACTCAAAACATAGAGGAATCATGTTTTGAGCTTAATGACTTTAGGATTCAACCTTGAGGAATCTTGTTGGATTATTTAATGAACGTGGAAATAATGAAATTAGAATCGCAGTTATCTTAAGAAGATCTACGAGTTAGCAAATACCTCTGAACCAATCCTTGTTTCTTAACCATAGCTTTTACTACTTTTATTTTATTGTGTTGTTTTACTCTATCTTCACTCATTTGTAATTATAACAACATTCTCATTTAAATCATTAGAGCAAGAGTTACTAAACACTCAAATCCCTGAGGACGATATTTGAATACTACTTCGAAACTTGGTTCACTTGCCAAGTGGTGAGATTGCGAAAAATCTTCATCATCACATGGATCGACTATTTCCATGTCGCCCACACAGTACTAAGGGATTCAACTTTAAAACAACTTTCAACTTATCACCTTAGTACTATGTATCTCAACAAAGGACATATATCTTCACCATATGTCCCCAACTTTTCAACTTTACAACAATAAACACCATAACAACTTTACAACAATAAACATCTGGCCACTTGTAATCGGTATAGGTCGGCCTGACCCCTACACCCGTGGTCGCTTTGTACACGTGTATCTCGACCTTGCCCACACACGGGATCAACTAAGTCCTAGAGAAGAACAACACAACATCCACTCCAATGGACAACTTCCCAATAACTTATTCATAAATTAAATTAGTTTATGGAGAAGTTTAATTTATTTTATTTCTCTTTTCTATTTTCTTCTTTTATAAGTACTTTCTAAAAAAATTGTGTAAACATGTATATATTTTTTACTTCTCTCACTTCATGCATTTGTTCAATAGGCAAATATAGTTTTAGATAGTGAATTTAGGTTTAGTTTAATTCTATAAACTAACTTGTAAGGTGAAAATTACTCTCAACTTATATACATTATTATAGTCATCTTATTAGTTGATGTGAGATTTCAAATACATCATTTCACATCAAGGACGGGATCTCTTGAATATAAAATTTACAGGTTTGAAAATCTATGATAAGCTCTCAACAACAACCAAATTGCTATAATAGACTATGGTACTTTCTCAAAAAAGTGAATTAGACTTTAATTTAATTTTATAAAATCGACTTGTGAAAGGGATTATCTCCAATAGTAAGGATCAATATACATACCATAAATGCCGGTGGTGATAGAAAAGAAGAACAATAAGTTCCAATCTTCATCATCAAACTTGTGGTGGTGGTTTTGGACAGTGTGAGGGTAGAGGTAGCGTGCCATTTCACTTTTTCCTTGCAATGCAGCCATGTGAAGTGGGGTGAGTCCTTCCCCACCCCTCATAGTTGGCAACCTCTTATTTTTTCTTAACATAGCCTCTGCAATTCTTACATTACCAACTGCAGCAGCAAAACAGAAAGCAGTGTTACCTTTGTGATCTTGAAGTTCTAAATCTTTTTCGCTCAGTAGTTTCAGCAACTCCTCTACAAAATGAAAGTGATTTGCTTCCGCAGCCACATGAAGTAGTGTGGCCCATCCCTGTGAGATTGCAGCACTCGCCAACCTTCTATCTGCATCAATCATGGTTCTTGCTTCCTTCCAATCGCCTTTTATTGCAAGATTGTAAATTGGAGCACATTTCTTCACGTAATCCTCTAAGTAAATAGAGAAAAATGTTAAACATGCACATTTAATTATAGTTTTATTTTACGGATAAAATGGTAGATAAGAGATTATACTCTCAAAACTACTAGATATAAAACCAATGACATATATGAGATCTTTAGACTAAACATCAGTGTTTAATCAGTGATTAATCAATAAATTAATAGATACAATAAATGATGTAAAGTGAAATCCTATTTGAAAAAATATATTATCATATGTAATAAAGCATGTTCATGATTGGTTCTACATATAAGATGTGATTTTAGGAAATTAATAATTATATTTTTTTTTTCATCTCATAATGATTTCATTTTAAGGTTTTTAAACACAGATTAAGAACAAATAAATATATCATTTTTTTAATATAATTTTATTAAAATAACTCAATCTTTTAATAAATATATTATTTTTAATTATAGTGATCGAATAATTTATGAAAAGATAAATTAGGGAAAAAATTCATTATATACTACATTGGAAAGGAGCATTGATTTTGAGACATTGATTTTCACACGAACACACATAACTAACATGGATATTGATACATAGTTAATGTTAAAAATATAAAAATACTAAGATACTACATATATATATATTGCTCTCTCTCTATATATATATAATTCAAGATAAGACGATGAGTGTTATCTCCGGAACATAGCTGACACGATGTTCTGCTAATGTATCCATACCTGCATAGATTATAACTTTTATATTCCAAAACATAATTCCTTATTTCTGAAGGAGTTTCCAAATATGCATTTAGTTACCCTTCAACTCTACTTTTCACGAAAAATAGTTAGTTTATGTTTATTGTTGTTCACAAATGACAAATTTTTAACTAAAGTTTAATTTGTCTATACTTTTCATATCTGTAAATAATTGTGCATGCAAATGCAATAGTGAGAGGAAATGAAGTACTTGTATTCTGTACTAGATCACATGAAGGACTTCTGAATTGAATTGATGCAAGTTCATGGGTGACTATCTGTAGTTCTTCCGGATTTGTTGTGCTTCGAACTGCCATAGTCATTTTCACTATAAAAATTAAAGAAAAATTTAATTAATTCAATTTGTGACGACTTATAGTAAAAATTGAGAACTTTAGAGCTTTAGATAAAAATTGACTAGGAAAACAAATTTGCTAAATTTTGAAAATAGAAAACTTATTTTATTTAACAAATAAAGAAAAATCACAAAAAATAAAAATATACTAAACATAAATCATACCTTAAATATATTTTTACGGCTTGATTAAATAATGAACGATTTAGCAATTTTCGAAAATGCCTACTTTCTTAGGAATATTCAATTACCAAAAATCATATCCAAACATATTTATTGGTCCTGTGGTGGAAAAGATATAATTGCAAAACGATCCATGAGAGGCTAAACTATCCCATATAAACCGTTAAGTTGAGTTAGTTGATAAGCTTTTACTTTCTAGGGGTGAAAAGATTTTGATTTTTTATGTATTTTAAAAATACTTATATTACATATGGATGTAACATGCAGACAAATATTGGTTACATATAAATGTAATGTAATAATATTTTGAAAATATTTATGTTGTTTGAAAAGTACAAAATTCCATTGCCAGGGAAAACATAGACGACTGTGCCCATTTTTAATACTCCAGCTTTTTTCTGAAAAACGGGTCAATACG